AAGTGAAATTCGGGGGACAATTCACTCCTTTTGTGTCTAGAGGTTGTGCAGTTATCAAGTGAGGTAGATCAGAAGTCTAAAGGGATCCTTCAAATGGATAGTGAGTTGCCTTTTCCTATAGTTGACAATCAGATTTAATGTCTTAAATATCATTTAATAGGTTTCTCTCCTGATTGTGAATTCTAAATGTTGGTAATACAGAAAATGAGAAAGTATAAATCACCTCCAATCTCATTGCCCATAGAAATGTTAACATTTTGGAGTACTGTCTATTAGTGTTTATTTTTCCCAATCCTATTATTTTTAGTAAAACTGTTGAGTAAATAATTTTTGGTAACTAATTTCAAAATTTATACCTTTGAGTGTATACTTGAACTGTTTATTATTAGAATGTAATGCAAGATGTAATAAAACTTGAGTTTTAAAAGTTTGCTTTGAAATTATTCACTCAGGAATAGGGAACACAATAACATGCATGGAGCTAATGACAGGAGGATGGGGAAGAGGTTGTGGGAAGAAGACAGGGAATTGGTGTTCTCAGTTTCTATTTCCTGGGCCAAAACATGTCAGGAAACTAAAATAGCCAGTCTCTGGGCCTGCGGTTAACCAAAGTGAGGGGGCATCTGAGATTTAGTTGTTGTTGAAAGACAATGGGAATGAGAGCAAGAAGGGTCTTCTTTTTTTTTGAGGCGGAGTTTCACTCTTGTTACCCAGGCTGGAGTGCAATGGCACGATCTCGGCTCACCGCAACCTCCGCCTCCTGGGTTCAGGCAATTCTCCTGCCTCAGCCTCCTGAGTAGCTGGGATTACAGGCACGCGCCACCATCCCCAGCTAATTTTTTGTATTTTTAGTAGAGACGGGGTTTCACCATGTTGACCAGAATGGTCTCGATCTCTTGACCTCGTGATCCACCTGCCTCGGCCTCCCAAAGTGCTAGGATTACAGGCTTGAGCCACCGCGCCCGGCTGAAGGGTTCTCTTTAAATATAAACACATCCTATGTCCATCAGAATGAGGACTCTCTTGTCCCTTTAGAGGAGGTGGCTATATGTACTAGATTGGAATCTTCAACAGTAATTGCTGAGAAAGACCAAACTTCGACCTGTGGACCTGCCATGACTTCCTTCTCCCTCAGCAGGTTCTCCGTGAGCTTGGAGAGATGAGGGTCAGATTTGCTTTAAATTTCCAATCCTTTTAGCTGCATGTGTCAGTTGCAGGCTATGGAAATGAGGAAGAAGGGGAAAGGCAGGAAAACAATGTTATTGCCTAAATTGCATATTATCTTTTAAAATCTGTGTAAGATTCATTTAAGGTAGACATTATTGCTCTCCAGACTACTTCTATACCAAGAGAAACAGGACAGCCCTGAGCAGAAGGGAAAGGCATGAATCACTTTTCTTCCAAAAAAGAGTGAAGGAAGAAAAAATTTCCTTTGACATCCACCTTATATTGCTGCCCCTTCCATTTCATAAAAAATGGAATGTTGAATACATCAGCTCCTTTAAAGTGAGGGTCTAGAGTTGGAAGGTGACTTGCTTATGGCTACAGAATACATGGAAAAGCTCTAATAATAAAAGACCTTCAAAGATCTCCACTTCAAAGCTATTGCTTTTCTGAACTGTAAATCTTTCAGGCAAGTAATTGCTTTTGCACCAGGATTTATAACTTGTAGGCTTTTAATATACTATGTGTGAGATGGATATGTTTGCCATTGTCATTTTACCAGTGATGAAGGGATCAGAGTTAACAAGTTAGCTAATTTCCTGAGATTAGGAAGAGCCAGAGATGCTATGAAAAGCAAGTCTTTTTTGTTTTTGTTTTTGTTTGTTTTTAGACAGAGTTTTACTCTTGTTTCCCAGGCTGGAGTGCAATGGTGCAATCTCAGCTCACTGCAACCTCAGCCTCCCAGGTGCAAGCAATTCTCCATCCGGCTAATTTTGTATTTTTAGTAGAGATGGACTTTCTCCATATTGGTCAGGCTGGTCTCAAACTCCCGGCCTTAGGTGATCTGCCCGCCTTAGCCTCCCAAAGAACTGGGATTATAGGTGTGAGCCACTGTGCCCGCCAGCAAGTGCCTTTTAAAATATTTTCTCAAGTATCCTGGACTTCTATTCACTTTTCATCCTAATTTTAAGAGTATTAGATATTTACTATAGAAAAATTTGGAAAACACACAGAAAAACACCAGAGAAAAATTACAACCTCAGCACCCAGAGATAACCAGTATAGCACTTTGTGAGTTTACATATTTTCAGTATTTTTAATGCATAAATATATATTTTACATGGGATCATATTGTACATACTGTCTTGTAATATTTTTACTTAACAATATATCATGAATACTTCATTTAATATTAATAGACATCAGTTTTGTTTTTTTCTGAGACAGTCTTGCTCTGTTACCCAGGCCGGAGTACAGTGGTACAATCTCGGCTTATTGCAATCTCCGCCTCCCGGATTCAAGCAATTCTCTTCTCTTGTCTCAGCCTTCCAAGTAGCTGGGACTACAGGTGCATGCCACCACACCTGGCTAACTTTTTTGTATTTTTAGTAGAGACAGAGTTTCACCATATTGGTCAGGCTGGTCTTGAACACCTGACCTCAGGTGATCCACCTGCCTTGGCCTCCCAAAGGTGTTGGGATTACAGGCATAAGCCACTGTGCCCAGCCTGTTGAAATCAGTTTTAACAGCTTTTAGGATTTTGCATACATTCATGATGGTTTTTGAAATATACATCTCCAGGTACAAAGTGAAAAGGCAATGCTTAAGGCTTCTGGTATTGATTGCCAGAGACAGTATGTATTCATGTCTTACCAACAGCATTAGAGTCCCAATGTCCCTGAATTCCTGTCAGTTTTATAAAGAAAAGTATCATCTCACCTCTTGCTTTAATATATATTTTAACTGTAGTGAGGTTGAACATTTATGTATTGTTCATTGGCACTTATTTTGTATTTTTCCTATTTTAAGTATCTTTTTTTTTTTCTACTGGAACTCTCTTATGGGGAGACAGTATACTGAAGTGGCTCCACAGTCAGGTTCTGAGTTCAAATTCTGACTTCCCCACTTTATAGATATATGACCTTTAGCCTTCATTTCCTCATCTGCTACATATGCAACTGTGATGAGAAATAACATGAATAAGTATATACAAAGCCCTTAGCAAGTATCTATTGCATTTCTTTTTTTCCTTTTTTTTTGGTTTGGAGACAGGGTCTTGCTCTGTCTCCCAGGCTGGAGTGCAGTGGTGTGATCTCAACTCACTGCAGCCTTGACATCCAGGGCTCAAGCAAACCTCTCACCTCCGCCTCCCAAGTAGTTGGGACTACCGGCATGCATCACCATACCTGGCAGATTTTATCTTTTGTAGAGATGGGGTTCTTGCTATGCTGCCCAGGCTGGTCTTGAACTCCTGGTCTCAAGCAATCCTCCAGCCTTGGCCTCCCAAAGTGCTGGGATTATACGTGTGAGCCACTGTGCTTGGCTTATTACGTTTCTTACATATAGAAGAGCTTTCTTACATAATGAGTATTTCCCTATTGCAATACACAATTCCTACTTAATGTCCTACCTTTTCAGTTTGTTCAGGTCTTTGTGGAAAAGGAGGAAAATAAGAGTTGAGTAGCTCTTACCATGTATTTTAATTTCTTAAATCTTTTCCAAATGATGCCATCCATTTTTTTTTCCATATTCTCTCCCCAAACTTGGGCCTTTAGGCCTCCTGCTGTTCTTACTGGTTAGCACATGTCCACTGATGTATGCCCCAATAAGAGCATTACTTCTCTTTGCTTCTTTTTATCCTCGTGAAAATTCTTTTTCTATGCACAGGATTCTAGATTTCCATACGGATTTGTTTTTGGTGAGGTGTGTTATTCCTCCAACCTATTAGGTCTTCTGAATATGTCTGTGTTGCTGGTTAACCCATACAATATTCCATCTTGCACTCAGCATCAGTCTAAATATTCTTTTCCTGCTAGGCTCCCCAGAAATGGGAAGTCTCGACTTTCAGTTGTCACTTCCTTTTAGCATTGTCTTTAATAAAATTGGCAAAAGTTATGAAATACTGGTAACATAAGACAAAACTGAACATGTATGAGGTACCTAAAGAATATCACAGACCCAGCAACTGACAAATTTTTGAGCATCAAAGCCCAAGGGAATATACTAGGATTTGTGGGGATACAGCCCCAGAAACAAATGATATGGCAGCTTCTGATCCAGAGCCTTGCAATTAGAAGAAATCTGATATTGTCTTTAGAATTAATGGAGAATCTTAAGGCTGGGAGAGGGAGTCTTAACACTAACAGACTCTTGAGGTATAGGCTGGGCTCTTTCCCACCTTCATTTCCACCACTACCCTCATGGAAGTTCTAGGCTAGCCTACAGATTGGGAAAGGAAACCACACACTTGCCTTTCCCTGGGGTCACATAAACCAAGACAGAGCTTCTGACTACCCTGTGGTCCAAGGGCTCCAGGGTTTGTCTGTTAACATAGTTCTCCATTGGCACACTTAAGAGTGTGGCCAGACTCAGACTTCTCTGACAGACAAGACGTCACTACAACAGGAGCTCAAGGAATGCTCCACACTGTTTCTGGCTTTTGGCTGTTGTTCTTTACTGGGAAGCTTCTTCCCTGGCCTACCACCTTGGCTAACTCCTTCTCATCCTTCAGGCCATTTCCCCCATTTCCTTATCCAAGGCTAAGTCAGGTGCTCCTTAAGGTCACATAGCACCGACCATTCCACTGTCACTGCCTATCTGGCTGCCTTGCCCATTAGACTCTAGAGATTACAGTCTTGTTTTCCACTGTATTTCTAGTCCCTGGCATAAAGTAGCTACTCAAAAATAACCTTTGGGTAAATTAATTTATATTCTTTCTTCTCATGCCTATCTCATTCCTGGCCTGCCTTGGGCTCAACAAATCATTGATCAAGCCATTTCCCGACTTTTCTTGCTGCTTTGTCACTGTTCTTTTTTGGGTCAGTTTTTTTTTTTTAAGTTCCTGAGACAAAGTGCCTCACATGGTCCACATCAGCCCCTTAAGCTGGTACACTAACAATCAGATGCAGTGACAAAACTTGGGTTGCTATATCCTTTTCATGACATTTTCATAGAAAATGAGGTTTCAATGTTACATTCCCATTTTTCATATTTCCTGAGTATTCCTAATGATAAGAAAAGAGCTGAAAGTAATGATTCTTCTGTCTTCTGATTAGTCACAGGAATAGCTTTCAAGGAACACTTTAGCACTGGGAAATGCTGTACAAAGCAAGCTAGACTCAAGACCTAGTATTTTATAACCTTTATGGCATTTAGCTCTAAAGTAAACTCTTTTGACTAACAAACATAAAAATTTGACTGAAGTATTTATACTATTTACAGTATTCACAAGTTACTTTATAGTGTGGACTCTCTGATGGCGCATAAGGACTGATCTGTGCCTGAAAGCCTTCCCACATTCATTACATATATAAGCTTCATCCCCAGAATGAATTCTCTGATGCTGAACGAGGGCTGAGCTCCTTTTGAAGGTTTTGCCACATTCATTACACTGATAAGGTTCCTCTCCACTATGAATTCTCTGATGTCTGATAAGGTTTGAGCTCAAACTGAAGGCTTTTCCACATTCATTACATTCATAGGGTTTCTCTCCACTATGTATTCTCTGATGAGTAATCAGCTCTGAGCTCTGCCTGAAAGCTTTTCCACATTCATTACATTCATAGGGTCTCTCTCCTGTGTGAATTCGCTGATGTCTAATGAGTTTTGAGCTCTGGCTAAAGGTTTTCCCACACTCATTACACTCATAAGGTTTCTCACCAGTGTGAATTCTTTGATGTATAATGAGATAGGAACTTTGACTGAATGCTTTGCCACACTCATTACATTTACAAGCTTTCTCACCAGTATGGATTTTCCGATGTCGAATGAGGGCTGAGCTCTGATTGAAAGCTTTCCCACATTCACTACATTCATATGCTTTCTCACCACTATGAATTCTCTGATGAATAATAAGATAGGACCTCAAACTAAATGCCTTCCCACACTGGTTGCATTTATAGGGCTTTTCTCCAGTATGGATTCTCTGATGTTGTGTTAGAGAGGAATGCTGCTTGAAGCTGTGCCCACATACATCACATCTATAAGGTCTCTCTTCGGGAGGAACTTTCTGACACATTATAGAGTTTGTAGTTAGAATCAAGCATCTTTCAGCCTCATCATAAAGGTCTCTCTTTCCTAGAGATGTATTTGCAAAGATCACTTGACTAAAACTGCCCCCTTGGGAAGGAGATCTTAGTTTCTCCCCTGTGGCACTTCCTTGCTTCCACTCTAAATTGCTTTCATGCTCACTAATTCCTCCAAATGAAGGTTCCTGAGGGAGTCCCTGTGATTCTTCTGAGATGTCCTCCTTTGTTGCTGTTTCATTGTTCTCACAATCTGAAACAATAAATAGCAAAAAAATAGATATTACCTTTCTCTAGTCACTCTCAATACTTTCTACATGAGAAAACAGAAGCTTCTACCTACAAAGATGTCATTCTCCTCCAGTATCTTTTTTTCAGTTGGCCAAAAGAGGGTCTCTCTTCTTATCTATTAATAGTCTACAACTACACTTTGAATTTCATCCTTTCCTGCCTCTTTTGAGACATCAATTGATCAATTACCTGTAATATTTTTCTATTTACCTTTTTCTCAACTGACTCCTGTTCATCAGCTTTTAAATAAGCTTAAGTGTCTCTCACCTTTTAAAATCAACCTCCTTGCCTACATATCTCTCTTAAGCAACCTCACTCACTCTCATTCATAGTGGTTTCTTGAAAGAGTTGTCTGCAGCCTTTCAAGTGAAAGGATCCCCATTCTACAATCTGGTTTCTGCCTTACTGTGTCCCCATCCCCTACTTCCACTGATACTACTGTCATCAAGGTCACTAACTTCATAGCTCTTCAATCCAATGGGTACTTTCTGGATTATTACTTAATCTCTCTGGCACTAACACTGAGGATCACACCTTTCATCTAGAGACATTCTCTTCCAGTGATATTAGCCTGATTTCTGTGGCTGTTCATTTTTAGATTCTAGGGTGAATCACTCAAACACAAGCATTCCTCCAGCTTCTGTTCTGGGCTCTCAGGCAACCTTATTCTACAAACTCTCTACCCTTGGCTTCCATTACAACTTATATTGTAAGCTATTGTCTGACTAATGTCTGCCCAGATCCCCAATTTTATCCCTATTTTATTAAGCTCTAGAGTCTTATGCTAATTGGGCATTTTACTTTTGAATACTTAACAAGTAACAAAATGTACCAACCTAAACACATCATCAGATGTATTTGTTTTTCCTTATGTTTTCTCATTTACATGAACAGCACTACCATTAACCAGACTGTTGAAGACTGAAACCTCAGTATTATCCTTAATTCCTCTCCTTCACACTCTAGTTTTTTTTTTTTTTTTTTTTTTTTTTTGAGATGGAGTTTCGCTCTTGTTACCCAGGCTGGAGTGCAATGGCACGATCTCGGCTCACCGCAACCTCCGCCTCCTGGGTTCAGGCAATTCTCCTGTCTCAGCCTCCTGAGTAGCTGGGATTACAGGCATGAGCCACCATGCCCAGCTAATTTTTTGTATTTTTAGTAGAGACGGGGTTTCACCTTGTTGACCAAGATGGTCTCGATCTCTTGACCTTGTGATCCACCCGCCTCAGCCTCCCAAAGTGCTGGGATTACAGGCTTGAGCCACCGCGCCCGGCCCACACTCTAGTTTTAACAATTACCAGATGCTGCAATGCAATTTAAATGCTGATAAGGCCGGGCGCAGTATAATCCCAGCACTTTGGGAGGCCGAGGCGGGCGGATCACGAGGTCAAGAGATCGAGACCATCCTGGCCAACACATGGTGAAACCCCGTCTCTACTAAAAGATACAAAAATTAGCTGGGTGTGGTGGCACATGCCTGTATTCCCAGCTACTCGGAAGGCTGAGGCAGGAGAATTGCTTGAACCCAGGAAGCAGAGGTTGCAGTGAGCTGAGATCGTGCCACTGCACTCCAGCCTGGTGTCTGGCGACAGAGTGAGACTCTGTCTCAAAAAATAAAAAATAAAAAACTAAAAAAAAATGCTGATGAACAGGAGTCAGCTTTTATGTTCTCCACCCCTCACCCTAACACATATTGATTGAATGCACTGTGGTCACTTGGATTATAGCAGTCTCTAATAGGACTACACTCTTGCCTTCCTCACAGGATTCTTCATTTGCAGCTAAGTTCTAAACTACAAATCAAACTATGTCACTCTCTTGTCCAAAATCCTTCAACTGCACCCCACTGCACTTAAGAAACTATACAAACAAATTAGCATGACATAAAGGGGGGACCTGGATCCTATTTTCCTCTCTGGTTCTTCTCTTACCATTTTCCCCCCATCAATTCTCCATTCAAGTCAAATTTAACTACCTGCAATTTCCAGAATGGGTTGTATTCTCCCACCTTTGGGATAGTATGGCCTTTACTTGGGCTACTCCTCCTCCCACCTATTTATTCATAGGCTTTCTCCTACTCTTTAAGTCTTAGCTTAGATTTTCTTCCTTCAGGAAGTGTTCCTTGATCCTCTAAGATTGGGTTAGGTGCCTTTAGATGCATTCCAACAGTACCCAGTGCCTATTTTTATTCTATAATTTACTACAGTACATTGCCTTTTTACTTGTCCATCACCACCCAGACCTGAAACCTCTTTAAGACAGAGACCCAGGGCCTACCACAGTACCAGAATTAACATTTTATAAAGTTATAAAACAATGAAATAAGTGAATGAATAACAGGGAAACTGACACAGGAGGGCTGACAGCAATTCATGAAGGGTGCTGCAAACCAAGCTGCTGAAGTGAGCACCTCTGGTTTAGAATCATAAAGGTGATGCTCACGTGGCAAGTTTGTCAAGTGCAATTAATTCTGTATTCTCAAAAACAGAGGCATAAGTGTCAAGAGTTTCCAGATGACTTCCTATTCCTCACCACTTTTAGGGGAAAGGCACGGTTTCCAGGATTTCAGCTGTGTCTGTAAGGGCTGGAGGTGGATGTTTGTTGATTCTTGGGATGCTCTGAGACATGTTAAATCCTTCCATGGCATGGTTGGTCCCTGTGGACTAGCTGGGACCTGAAATCAGTAAAATATGGTTAGTTTTGTGAGAAAAGTCCTAGGGAAACCTGCTTAGTAAAAATCTTAAAGAGGTCAGTGAGGACATCTACAGGGATGAAGGACAGGAAAAAGACCATTCAAGGGTATAGACAGGTATGGCTCTATTAGTCACTTCAGGTTAGGGTTCAGTAGAGACATAAAAATTTTTATCCTACTGTTATGATACGATTACATGCTCCAGGCTTTAACTTCCCTTTCCCTCAATACATCACTTTTCTCTGTTCCCACCTGCTGCCCTGGGTCATCAAACTCCTTCTCCAAATCCTCCAACAGGGTCACAGCTTCCTCGCCGCTTTTTGGATTATGTTGCTGAACCCAGATCTGCAGCTCCTCAGGCAGAATGCTCAGGAACTGCTCCAGTACCAGCAGTTCTAAGATCTGCTCCTTTGTATGCAACTCTGGCTTTAGCCACTGATAGCAAAGCTCCTGGAGCCTGCTCAGAGCCTCCCGGGGCCCAGGTGTCTCCTGATAGCAAAACTTTCTGAATTGCTGACGAAACAATTCTTGGCAGGATTGAGTACTCCCATTTTGCTTAAATTTCTCATCCCAGGAAAAGTTATCTTCTACTTTCACTAGTATTAGTTCTTGTTCCTGAGGATCCTGAGGTATCAAGGTTGAAATCACTTCAGATTCCACAGCCATTCTTGGCTGAAAGAACTTAGCAAAAATCTCAGTACACCTGGGTTCTGTGCTTGAAGAGTGTGAGTGATCTCTTCTTTCCTGAAGAATATAAAAGCAGTTAACTTACAGCAATCACAAAAATCTCTAAGAACTTGCAATAACAAAGATGAGTAACTTTAGTAATATATTGAAAGGGAGCAGATTTGGGGCTAACACTAAAACAATAATGCGATGACAAACTAAAAATAATTAACCTCAATCAGTGTCTCCCATTATGAAGAATTCCTACCACTAATGTTAGACCTAACTATTTTAGATGCCAGAGTGTGAATGCAACATTAACATCAGTCACATAGTGAGAAAATTTCCAATTATCTTCTGATTCTGATTGTGTCAAGGAGAAAAATCTTTGACATGTATGTATTCATAAAACTTGTAGAACTCTCTTTTTAAATAAAATACAGGCTTCAGAATCAGACTTCCAAGGGTAACAATATTTAATCAGAATTTAGCAATACTGATGTTAAACGTTTATTTTTAGTTACTTTCTACCTAAAGCAGGTCATGTTAATTTTCATTTAAGGTAGTAACATTCTTAAGTTCACACTGAACATGAGTTGATGTAAATATTGGCTATTTGATCACATTTGGTGTTTACTGAATTACTTCAACACTGAGGCACTTACTGAGCATTAGGTTAAGGTTTTTGCTTATGAATGAATGAGTCTACTGAGGAATTGACCAAGAACCAAGAATTATCTGTAAAATGCTTACCATGTGTTCAAAAACATGATAGGTATCACATACCCAAAAGAAGCAAAATGATCAACATCAGCTCTGAAAAAGCTTAGAATAGCCAAGGAGTAAAAATGTTCAAAAGCAAAATATGATAACAAATATTGTTAAATTTTGTGACATAGACCAAACTTGACCAGATTTTAGGACGGTGAGATATGGATAGGAGTGTGTCCCCTTGAGTTTGTCAGGACAGATGAGTAAAATTCATTCCTCACATTATGGTTAACTTTAGAGATTAATTAGAATATGTAGCCTACAAATTTGTGGTTTATTAACCAGTCCAGCTGCACTAAGTAGCCTTCTATTTTCATATCCTCGGTTAAACCTGGTGCATTTATTTGCGAAGTCACGCGGTCAGGGGAACTGCGTTTTCCCCTGGAAAGCAGGGGTTTGAGTGCTGGCCTCCTCTAAGTCCCCCAGTCCCTTGGAGACGCCGCGCGGACCAAGGGGCCGCGACCTGGGCAGGCCAAGGAGCTGGGCTCCTCCACTGCCCGGCCGGCGCTCCCTCCCCCCGTTCCCTCCTCCTAGGGGCCCGCGTCCCTCACCGCGAAGCCCAGGAGCGGCCAGGGAATGAGCCGCCGACCCCTAGCTGCAAGCCACAAAGACCGGAAGTGCGTGCCGAAGTGTTCCGCTCTCGCGCCCGCCGGAGCCTCCGCCGCCCCGCCCCTCAGTCTCAGGTAGCCAATCAGAGTCGCGGGCTCTACTGTTCCCACCGCCTACTCCCGGCGGCAGCTAGTCCCGCGAAACCTCCAAGGCCAGGCGGGGATGAGCCAGGAGGCGGGGTCGAGCCAGGAGGCGGGGTCCTTGTGAGCGGCCTCACCCAGAGAGCTCCGCAGCCCGCTTAGGCTGTCCTCTCTCTGTCCTTCTCCCGTCGCCACGCACCATTGTTGGTGTCAACTCATTACTGAATCCCACTCCCGATTTTCCATTAAAATATTTAGATTTTCCTGCAATTCCAGTTCTTTTCCGGAATATCTGAGAAAAGTAAACGCAAGGATGAACAGGCTGAACAGTCACTTACATTGCTCTTGCCTGTGAGTATCACTGGAGTCTTTACAACCGCTCTGTGGCGTGGCTGTATCATCCCCAATTTACTGCTGTAGACAGCGCCCAAAGTCAGGCAGCTTGTGACCAGGGACGCCCACGTCCCCATAGTTGAAGGAGACTGGTGTCATTGACTCCAGGAGTCTATTGCAGGGTCTTCCCATTCTTCAGTGGAAGCTTGCTGGTATTAAGTCTTACTGTTTAAATTTTTCTTTGGCCATTTAGTCGGTGAAAGATGATGCCTTATGTTTTAACTTTGTGAGCTTAAGGTGGTCCCCCTTCATGTTTATTTACCATTTATGGTTCTTCAGAGGTGGCTTTTTCCATTTAAAAAATTAAGGGGTTAAAAATTTTTTTTTTGAATTTGTGACAGTTTTTTGCTTGTTAGGATAACAACTCGGTTGCGAATCGTTTCCCATTTATTTGTATTTATTTTTAAAATGTTACATTTTACATGTTTAAATGTTAGGTATTTTAAAAATGTTATATTTTAAAAATGCGCATAGGATAATAACAAGGCGATACATACATACATAGAAACAAATTCTCTTTTATGAGCCAAGGCTGTTAAAACACACATATTTGAGAGAAATATTTATTAGCATTCAAGGCTATTAGTGACTCACTAAATAATTCTTTATCATTGTGAAATGACTATAGCAATTTTACATAGCAAAAAACCAAATAATATTAATTTGTTTATAGATGATCAATTGCTTCATAATGAACCACTTCTAGACTTAGTGACTAAAAACAGCAGATATTTTATTGCTCACAGTTCTGTAGCCAGAAATTCAGGCAGGGCTTAGCAGAGATGGCTAGTCTCTGCTTTATGAGGCAGAGGCAGCTATCTTCACTTAACTGGGGTGGAAGGTCCAAGATGGCTTCACTCACATTGCTGAAGTCTTGGTGCTGCCTCTTAACTGGAGCTAACTTGATTCTTCTCCATAAGGACTCTCTCCATTCAGGAGTTTGGCCTAAGCTTTCTTACATGGTGACTGGCTTCCAGGAGAGTGAAGGAGGGGGAAAGATGCTAATTCTCTTAAAGCCTAAGTCTGGAACTGGCATTACATACTTCTGCAGTATTCATGACAGAAGGACTAGATTGGTAGAAAAGGAAAATAGACATTAAGCGGCTTGAGCATGGGAGGAAGTTTTGACAGTTATCCAACCTAACACCCCTTGTTAAATTGAGAAACCTACTATGTAAGGGTGAAACTATTGAAAGAGAAAAGGCCTATCAGTTGAAATGCTTTTGGTTGCAGTAGCAGGAACCTTACTAAATGTCCTTATTGTTTAAGCCTTTTAAAAACAAATCCTAATAGCTAGATGCATGGAGATAAAGTCATTACCAGGGTTGGTTACTCTGTGTCTGGACAATATTGTCAAGGACACAGGTTTCTTCCTTCTTTTGGCTCTGCCATCTTTAAGTGTGTTGTTCTCTAGTCAGGCTTTCTTTATGGTCCTAAAGTGAGTCCCTCAGTTCCAGATTACAGATAATGTTCAGAGACAACGAAGGGGAGCACCCTTATCTACTGCCCCTTTATAAGACTAAGGAAACTCTTTTCCCCCAGCAGATTTCTCCCTCATGCCTGCTGGGGGGTGGGGTGGAGGGAGTAAGGCCTCCATGGTGGGATTAGGACAACTGAAATTTATATCCCAGGGCTAAGGAGAAGGCCACTCTCCTAAAGGACACAGACACTCTGGGGAAAGTGCATGAAATTAGGGCTGCATTAAAAAAGCGGAAAAGGGAGGTAGGTGAATGTTGAGTGTGCAACAGTAATGTGTACTTCAGTAGGTAAGCTGATTCCCTTGTATAGGTAAGAAAGTGAGACACTGAGAAAAAATCCAGACTCCTGCCCTTCCTTATGTTACATATGTTTAAAATACAAAATATTAATAATTACTTGCAAAAAGATGTAGAATAGAGATTTAGAGCTAATTTATGGGACATAGTTTAAATTCCCACTGAGATAGTAACTACCCCATAGGGCTGTGGGGCTTTAGAGCCTCCTTAGGGCCCCTTAAGGGCCTTAGCCAACAATTTCCATGACTTATTTAATTTTCAGTATTCTTGATTGTATCAATGCCGCTGAAATCATTCCCTTCATCTTCCGCTACCTCCAGTCTCACACATACCCAGTCTGCTTTAATATGAAAATATTTGCTAAATTATTGAATCAAGGGTAGAGAAGTATAATGTTTTTCTCCTCCAGATGTTCTTAATTTTTCTTTTTTTTTTTTTAGTGATATGTATGACAGGTTGGCTCCAGGCATTACCAGTGATTAGTGAGTAAGGTTGTTCATTCAGTGAAGTCCAACTACTTGAATTACTGTATCATATAACATTGATCTACTTTATGATATTCATCAAGTGAGTTAAGCCCATTGAAAGTCTCTAAACTGTAAACAAGTATTCAATAATAAAGGATAGAGAAAATGGCTTCTGATGCACAAGGGGAACGAGTCATTTCCTTTTATTTTTATTTTTTATAGAAAAAATTTTTTTTTCGTAGAGACAAGGTCTCAGTATATTGCCCAGGATGCTCTTAAACTCCAGGGCTCAAGCAATCGTGTCATCTCAGCCTCCCAAAGTGCTGAGATTACAGACATGAGCTACCACACCTAGCCAAATCATTATCTTATTCAGCAAATATTATGGAACGTTTGTATATGTGAAACACTGAGAAGAAAAGTAGGGATTCAAATGAAGTAAAATATACACTCTTTCACCTCACTCATCACTGTAATTCATTGAGTATGAATTCCAGGAGGGCAAGGGTTTTGTCTTCCATGGCTGTCTCTCCTGCATGGCCTAGCATTGTGTGGATATTCTGATAAATAAATGAATGAATATATAATACATATATACAAGAAAGACAATTGATGCAAAAACTAGTGATAGTTTTTGAAACATTCAACGAAATGGAGTATATAGATAGGAACAGGCGTCCCCAAACTACGGCCCGCGGGCCTCATGCGACCCCCTGAGGCCATTTATCCGGCCCCCGCCGCACTTCAGGAAGGGGCACCTCTTTCATTGGTGGTCAGTGAGAGGAGCACAGTATGTGGCGGCCCTCCAACGGTCTGAGGGACAGTGAACTGGCCCCCTGTGTAAAAAGTTTGGGGACGCCTGGATAGGAACATTTTAAATAATATGCTTAGACTATTTTAATATGAACCCAGGGTTTGCTTTTATCAGGTGTGGTAAGAGGACAAACACAGAGGCAATTGCCTTTACAAGAATAATTTATTACTCACAGTTCTAGAGGATTCGATGCATGGTATGCCATGGGACCACTTGCAGGGAGAAGTAGGGAGAGTGAGAATGAGTGGGAGAGAAAGGAACTGAAGCTAAGACTGTTGCTATAGTAGGAATAAGTTGCAAAGTGGAGATGTGCAGGCAGGAAGCAAAACACACATATTGAGGCTAGTGGTCTGAGGGTTTGTAGTAAGATTTCTGAGTGCCTGAGAAAACACAGGTTGGTAGAGGTATAAACAACTTGGAGCCTCCAGTGCTGGCCAGTGACTCTAAGCTACCACATTATCAATTACAGAATATCAAGAACAGTTGCTGTACTATTGTATTCTATGACTCTTCCATGATGTCACTAATTTAGCAGTTGTATTTTTCAGAGACAAATAATAGGATGTATTAACAGAGCAAGACATTGCTTATTTGTAGTGTCCAAAACAGTAAACAAAGGCCTTAGTTACTAAATTGTTTCTGTTTGCTGCTGATGTCAAAGAAAGCCTTTGAGGTTTCTCGCGACGTTCATTCTTGTATCTATCATGTATAGAACAGAGTTAAAGCTTCAGGTAGGTTGTTATTACTATTTTACTTTTTACAGACTAGCCACAATGATAAATCATTTGACAGGGCTCCAACTCAGCTCTTAATCTGTCAGCCACTTCAGAAAGATCTTCCACTGGGATCCTGTTCTGCCTTAGGGAGAATTCAACAATGATACATAGATATATTCTAAGAACTTAAAAAAAAAAAAGGCAGTGCCTAAATACATGTTCTCATAGTTTTGTGGGTAGGAAAGTTGAGCATCTGGAGAAAAAGCATTTTTAAAAAAAGGTGTAGGAATTGGGTGATAAAAGACACTCACCTCTTTTCGTTATACCTATTATATGTGGTAAGGTGGATGTGTTTAAAAATCTAATCTGGTTGTCTTGAGCTTGTATTATTTGCCTAAATTCTTTTGGTGTAGCTATCACTATTAAAAGGAAATTTAGATTTTAATTGAGTTATTCAGACAATGAATTTATTGAATATTCATTGGGTTTCTGTTTGACAGTGTCTAATAAGAAATTTCTTTCTTTTAATCTTGCTTGACAACATAGTGGTAAATGAATAACTAATTTATATATTCCCCCAAATTACCTTCAAGCCTCCCAAATGCCAAATATACTATTATTTTAAACTATCTTTCGGGTGGTACAACGCAATTTGCTTATCTTTCTGGATATGTCTACCTTTTAAAAATTATTTTACATATATTATTTTATATTGTGTTTTTATGACTGGGATTATACTGCTGCAGTAATAATTTTCTTATAAACG